TCATGGCACATGGACATCATCTCAAATTTTCCAATAGGTAATATATATAAATTGCATATACCACTTAATCAGTGGACAAACCCCCTATAAAACAAATTCTATTTTCTGGAGAAACATGAACACCTAAAGTCTCAAACCTCTTTAAACTTCATACTATGTCAGTGAATGATGAAAATATGCATTAAAACAAAATTTTCATTTTTTCTAATTTTTCTCAAAATATGTGGGTTAACCCCTAAAGAAAAACAAGTTTTTTGAGAAATATTGTATTAAGAAGTTTAGGCTCTTTATTGTTGATGAAAATTACCCAATAACATTCTAAATTTGTATTAATGTATGTTAAAATTGTTTTCATGGCACATGGATATCATCTCAAATTTTCCAATAGGTAATATATATAAATTTCATATACCACTTATTTAGTGGAGAAACCCCCTATAAAAAAGTCTATTTTCTGGAGAAATGTGAACACCTAAGGTGTCAAACCTCTTTAACCTTCATACTATATCAGTGAATGATGAAAATATGCATTAAAACAAAATTTTCATTTTTTCTAATTTTTTTCAAAATATGTGGGTTAACCCCTACATAAAATCTTGTTTTTGAGAAATGATACATTAAGAAGTTTATGCTCTTTATCGTTGATGAAAATTACCCAATAATATTCTAAATGTATGTTAAAATTGTTTTCATGGCACATGGATATCATCTCAAATTTTCCAATAGGTAATATATATAAATTTCATATACCACTTAATTAGTGGACAAAACCCCTATAAAACAAATTCTATTTTCTGGAGAAACATGTAAACCTAAGGTCTCAAACCTCTTTAACCTTCATACTATGTCAGTGAATGATGAAAATATGCATTAAAACAAAATTTTCATTTTTTCCAATTTTTCTCAAAATATGTGGATTAACCCCTACAGAAAATTTAGTTTTTTTATAAATGCTATATTAAAAAGTTTATGCTCGTTATTGTTGATGAAAATTACTTAATCACATTCTCAATTTGTATTAATGTATGTTAAAATTATTTTCATGGCACATGGACATCATCTCAAATTTTCCAATAGGTAATATATATAAATTGCATATACCACTTAATTAGTGGACAAACCCCCTATAAAATAAATTATATTTTCTGGAGAAACATGAACACCTAAAGTCTCAAACCACTTTAACCATCATACTATGTCAGTAAATGATGAAAATATGCATTAAACAAACTTTATTTTTTTTAAATTTTTCTCAAAATATGTGGGTTAACCCCTACAGAAATTCAAGTTTTTTTTATAAATGATATATTAAGAAATTTAGACTCTTTATTGTTGATGAAAATTAGCCAATCACATTCTAAATTTGTTAATGTATGTTAAAAAAAATTTCATGGCACATGGACATCATCTCAAATTTTCCAACAGGTAATATATATAAATTGCATATACCACTTAATCAGTGGACAAATCCCCTATAAAATAAATTCTATTTTCTGGAGAAACATGAACACCTAAGGTCTCAAACCTCTTTAACCTTCATACTATGTCAATTAATGATGAAAATATGCATTAAAACAAAATTTCTAGTTTTTCTAATTTTTCTCAAAATAAGTGGGTTAACCCCTACAGAAAATCTAGTTTTTTGATAAATGTTATATTAAGAAGTTTAGACTCTTTATTGTTGATGAAAATTACCCAATCACATTCTAAATTTGTATTAATGTATGTTTAAATTATTTTCACATCATCTCAAATTTTCCAACATGTAATTTATTTAAAGTTCATATACCACTTATTTGGTGGACAAACCCCCTATAAAACAAATTCTATTTTCTGGAGAAACATGAATACCTAAGGTCTCAAACATCTTTAACCTTCATACTATGTTAGTGAATGATGAAAATATGCATTAAAACAAAATTTTCTAATTTTCTAATTTTTTCTCAAAAAATATGTGGGTTAACCACTATAGAAAATCTAGTTTTTGATAAATGTTATATTAAGAATTTTAGCCTCTTTATTGTTATGAAAATTCCCAAATCAGATTCTAAATTTGTATTGATGTATTTTTAATTATTTTCATGGCACATGGACATCATCTCAAATTTTCCAATAGGTAATATATATAAATTGCATATACCACTTAATCAGTGGACAAACCCCCTATAAAGTAAATTCTATTTTCTGGAGAAACATGAACACCTAAGGTCTCAAACCTCTTTAACCTTCATACTATTTCAGTGAATGATGAAAATATGCATTAAAACAAAAATTTCATTTTTTCCAATTTTTCTCAAAATATGTGGATTAACCCCTACAGAAAATCTAGTTTTTTTTATAAATGCTATATTAAAAAGTTTATGCTCGTTATTGTTGATGAAAATTACCTAATCACATTCTAAATTTGTATTAATGTATGTTAAAATTAATTTCATGGCACATGGACATCATCTTAAATTTTCCAACAGGTAATTTATTTAAATTTCATATACCACTTAATCAGTGGACAAACCCCCTATAAAACAAATTCTATTTTCTAGAGAAACATGAATACTTAAGGTCTCAAACCTCTTTAACCTTCATACTCTGTCAGTGAATGATGAAAATATGTATTAAAACAAAATTTTCATGTTTTCTAATTTTTTTAAAAATATGTGGGTTAACCCCTACGAAAAATTCGAGTTTTTTGATAAATGCTAAATTCAGAATTTTTGGGCTCTTTATTGTTGAAAAAAAAATACCTAATCAAATTCTAAATTTATATTAGTGTATGGTAAAATCTTTTAGTGAATAATTTAATAAAACTTCATATTTCACCTAATTCAGTGGACTAACCCCTATAAAATTTGTATTTATTGTGGAGAAATAAGGACAACTAAAGGTCACACACCTCTATAATATCTTCATCATATGTGAGTGCATGATGAAATTATGCATTAAACAAAAATATCATATTTTCTAATTAATCTTGAAATATGTAAGTTAACCACTACGAAAATATTGAGTTTTCCAATAAATGAATATATACAAAATTTTAGCCTCTTTCGTGCTATTTAAAAATACCTAACCACACTCAAAACTTATATTAACGTGATAAGCTTATTTACCAAGTACATGGACATCATTTCTAATTTTCGAACATGTAATTTATTTAAATTTTATATACCACTTAATCAATGAACAAATTCTTTACAAAAACTCTATTTTATGGAGAAACATGAATACCTAGCATCTCAAAACTCTTTAATCTCCGTACTATGTCACGGCATGATGCAAATATGCATTAAAACAAAATTTTCATATTTTCTAATTTTTCTCGATAAATGCTATATTAAAATGTTTAACCCCTAAAGTCCTCACTTTATCCCTGCTAAGGTTATTATTAGAGTGTAGAGATGTGTCCATGATGAAAATGAAATAACCAAAGTTGAAATGCAAAAGCTGGTTCATATCTAACACATTAGAGAGATAAATTGCAGAGAGGGGTAATCCATCGACTAGTCTGTTTTGAATTATTACCATGAAGGAAGGAGTGTGTGTGAGATTGAACAGGCTAAAGGCCATATTACAACTCAGTATCAAAGGTAAAACAGAGAAAGAAATAAAAAGAGAGAGAGAAAGAGTATTCTCAATGCAGAAGCAAACTGTAAACAATCAAAATGGAGTTTGACACACAATTTTGACGAACCTCTCTCCTTATTCTATTCTTCTCAGATGCAAAACACTTGGAGGAGAAAAATGTTTGATTAGTGATGAGTATTAGTGGGAGCATCACCCGTTTCTTCACCTTTCCTTGAAGCAGCTCTTAGTTTACGCTGCTCCTCTTTGTAAATCCTGTTTCTTCTTTGGAACTATAACACACACAACCATTGTCAGTCCACCTTCCCATAAGATTTATATACAAATTAAATAACAAAGAATCTATGATTGAAGATAATGAAATAGCTTAACACTCTCTCAAAGTTTCTCCCATGAAACTATATTGATTTCATTCCTTGGAGAACATGTGCTTAGATTTTCTGGTTTCCAGATTGAAGAAACAAACGGAGAACACAACAAATTAAGAGATCAAGCTGAGAGCTGAGGCAAGGGCGATGAATCTAAGCGATACGAGTGACCTAATTAATGGAATGAACCTATAAACAACATCCGCATTTCACCAAACCATGAAAAATTTCTAGCAAAAAGCTTATGATGTCACAATAAACCTAACAAGAGATATCTATAAATGGCAGACAAATTTCAGTATCCGCTTGAACTGATCTAGAGTTTTTAGAAATACTCCATCAATCTGACTTGAGTGATCTAGGGTTTCGCGAATAATCAAATCAATGTAAACAGATCTAATCAATCTAAGGCCTGAATCAGATATTTACAAGGCACGAGAGAGAGAAGAGGGTAACCTACCTCTTTGGAATGGTGAAGACACTCGAGGTAGTCTTCACGAAGAAGAGAACAATCCTTAGGCTCTCTGCAGTGAGACATACACTCACTGAAATCCATCCAGAAATCATAACATCTCCCTTTGTTTCCCGTTATTCCCCACCCTGACGCCATTTCTGTTTCTCCAAATCCTAAACCTTAGATTCCGATTCGATGATAGATAATACGTCGTCTCTTCGAAGAAGTCCTCTTCACCTGATTTCCAACGACCCGAATCATTCGGGTTTATCCGCCAATTACAACCCGTATTATCCTTTACAGGGCCTTAATCTGTTGGGCTTTAATATCAACGCTCGATAAGCCCAGTCATTATGTAAACCTTCTAACAGAATCAGAAGTGTGACACCATTTGTAGTTGCTGCTAGAGAGTTAAAAGAGGATGGAATTAGCACTAACTCTACACATGTGAGACAAACAGAATTGATATTAGCTTAGGTAAGATAAGTTATTATTAGTCTTCGTAGTGGTTTCGAATATTCTTTCGTTTTACTTTTACCCTTAATACATCAAAGATGACAACTACTTAACAACATTCACCGTTACTACAGCTCAAAAACCAGGCTTAAACCTTGATAGTTGATATCGTATATATCCATCACAACACAAAGCTCACAGAATAATCCGAGAGCTCCTTTTTACTGCTTCACGACACGGTAAGCAATGAATCTGTCGTCTCTAAACAGCATCTCCGCGTCTTCAGGAACAGTCAGCTCTGGGTTCCATGGACGACAAACTACATGTTGCCCACTTGGTATACTCTGGTACCCACTTCCCATTACCAGCTTCTTCTCACTCTCTTGTACACGTGATGATTCATTAACATTGTTTGTCCTATTCTGAGGAAAGTAAGGAGCAGCAATGTTCATCATCCCCGTAGTATGAGTAGCTGGTGCGGCAGTAAGAGTAGCATCTGTAATAGGGTGAGTAGCCACAGGCGAAGCAGTAATGTTTATGTCCGTAACACTATTGGGTGGTGGTGCATTAAGAAAGTTTGGGAGTTCTGCAGGAAATAAAAACTCATGTAGGACCATATCACAGAAAAATTATCGAACTCAGGAAATATTCTGGAGTTTAAAATAAGATTCAAAGAATACTAACCATCTTCGTGCACTTCAATCCACTTTGATGGGACATCAGGGGTTGCCATCTTCGAAGGTTGGGAAGGGCTCACTTGTTCGCTGCTCTTCACATTTGAATTTGAAGCTTCTTGTCTCACACAAGGCAAAGAAGGCGATGATGGGTTTTGGTTCAAGTGTCCTGCATATAATAGAACATTTGATTGGCTTTTTAATCCTTGTAAATATGCATCAGACAACAAACTAAGGTAACTTTTTCAATTTGAGAGATATGACCATTAACTTAAATAATAAAAGCAAAGAATGTTAAAGTTTAAATAGTTACCATGTTTTATACTCATGAAAGCTACTTTAGCGGCATTCATTTCAGCCAGCTTTTTGGTCTTTGCTTCTTCTCCTTTGTAGAGATTCCCCTCAAACTCAACGGTTGAAGTAAAGGTAGGAGCATGTGATGGACCAGATGTAGAAGTTGCATAAACTGGTAAAAGAGAGTTCTCTTTCTGCGCAATTTCTTGTAAAAGGTTCTTGTAAGCAATATCAACAACAACTCCCTGGGATAACAAAAACAAAACGCTTTTAAAATTTAAACAATATGGGGAATAACAGATTAATAATGGTCGATGGGAACTAGCCTCTGGGTTCAACGGAGTCAACGAAGCCAATGCCACTTTTGCAGCAGCATGTTCAGCAGCTCTTAGTGTTGGACAGAACTCTTGACCTTGAAAAGTCTGTCCGCAAACAGTGACCTTGCATCGGAATAGAGGAGAATGAGCAGGTCCTTGTCTCTCAGCGGCATAGACGGGAAGCTCCATATTTTGTTTGAGGGCATATGACTGGAGTTGGCTCTTGTACATATGATCCATCTCTAACTAAGCTGAAGAAATAAACAAACTTTCAGATCAATATTATCTCCTACAAAAAAAAAAAAAAAAAAGCATGGAAACTAAACTACTCAAACTTAACAGTCTTTTGACAGCCAAAAGATTATTATTATATATATATATATATGCTAAGTGCTACGATGTTGTTTCCAATCCCAGTAAACTTTTGTTAGTAAAGAACCATATATTACTTTTGAATTTGAAATCACTCATCTAAATATTCCGGTAATGAAAACCATAGTCTGATTCTTTGTAGATTTAGTAAATGCATTACACATGCAAAGAATTGTAGATTTCATTGAAATTCAACAAAACATTAACATTTTATGTGGTTGGTAGAGACATGTTGAGAATAGCTTGAAATGATATGGGATTAAGGAGTTTTAGTACCAAATCGATAAGTAGAAACCAGACTAGGGTTTCGAACAGAGATATCAATGTGTGTGAATTGAATACTACACAATTTTTTAAAAAAAAAGAAACGAGCAAATTGAAAAGAAGAAGAAGCGTACCTCTTTGGGTGGGACGAGGAAGACGACTGCGCTGAGAGAGAGAGAGAGAGAGAGAGAGAGAGAGAGAGAGAGAGAGGGCAGGCACTTACGGTAATCCAGACAGAAACTCTTCACCTGCTTCCAAACAACTCGGGTTTAATCCAGAGACGACTCAAAATATTCATTAATTAATGGCCCAATAATGAAAGTGGGCTTTAGAAATGAACCTTTAAAGGGCCCAGTGAAATTGTAGCCCTTCCGTGAGAAGTAGACAACCGAAACAGCTGAAAGGAAGGAAGGAAGGAAAGAGGAGAAATGGTGAGGGGAGAAGCGTTGATCGCATACAGAGCTTTGCTGAGGGCTACATTCATTAATCTTCCATTTCTGATCTATGTTTTGTCCAAAAAATGACAGAACTTCACTTGTTTCTAATTGTTTGTTAAGAGACACTCACTCTCGACATGTCTTGCATTAATGATCTTGGAAGCCTTGTCCTGTCTTAAAGACCCATATATCATGTATAATAGTTTTATATAATGTCACTGTTAACTGCTACTTTTGAAGTTGAATTATTTCCTACATCAGCTAAGTTGTTTCATCTCTCTAGTGTTCCTTGACGTCGACGCTTTATCACATAGTCTAATTATAGGAAGCTTGTAAAGTAATTGATGGGAGAAGAGTGAAAGCCATAATCTGTTTACTCTAGTTTTCAAACCAATTGAATATTATAGCCCTTTTTAGATATGGGTTCTGCCAAAAAAGTATGGTTCGTTTACAGAGAGATACACCACACAATCCTCTTTCTCCTTATGACCCCATTCATGAGTGTCCATAGTTTTTGCTCAGAAGCCCTTTTATGTTCTTCATGGTTTAGGTTCAGAGCTGCAGGTTTGTCTTTAGTGTCTTAATCATGTTCTTTTGTTGTTGTGCAGTGACTTATTAATTGTGTTGAAAGAGCAGTTGTCTTTTGTTTCATAAAAATCATGTGAATAGCCATAACCATATATACTTCTTTCTCTCATTTCATGTGAGATTTAAAATACATTTTTATCTGTATTTATTAATGCTCACGCTTTACCTGATTATGCACATCAAGACGTTACTCACGCACGTCCTAAACAAAGTAGCTATTGTATGTCGTGAAATAAAGGAGGGATTCGACGAGATATGGTCATGGGTCTCATGGCGATGACAAAAGCCACCAAAATATGTCTTTTTGAAATAGAATGTAATAACCAATCGTAGCTATCCATTTGTTTGACAAAAATAAATTATTTACCATTAAATAAAAATTTAGCGAGTTTTTGTTGATAACTACAACTAGATATTTGTTCTTTTATAAAACTTTCAAGTAAATGAATCCCAAATATTTATTTAAATTAGCAATGCTAGGTTAATAAGTTTATTTCTTACATAGTGACATGAAATTTTCATGAAAAGAGTAACCTTCCAAAATTTTGCTCTACCCACTTTCCGAAACTACTACTTCACTGTATAAATATATCATGCTTTAAAACTTGGGTAAGTCTGCATGCTAGATCAATGATCACCATTACCAAAACAAATCAATAAATATAATAGGTCGATCTGTTGGTTTAGCAGGTTGGAGTAGTTGTTGAATGTGGTAAAATTACTAATGCTAGGAGGTAATCTAAACACAGCCACGTATGGTATCACCAAAACAACAAATATACAACATTCAATTTCAAACATAAACACATTGTGATCATAACTCCGACACATACGAATGAACCGCCATACTTATTTAACGTTCGCTTTTTCACCTAACCAAAAACCTAATTAATTTTACTATGTACGTGTATATATACACATCTCCCTCGCACTCTCTTTTCCGTCGACACCCATAGTTTAACATAAAGATTACATTTTAAATACAATAAATAGAAAAACTCCATGAGTTCTTCGATCACAGTTTCACTTCTCTTCTTTCTCCTTTCACTCACTTCAACTTCATCGTTACAGTCTAAACGCAACAGCTACGTCCAAAACGCATGCAGCGTTACACGCTACCAAGATCTCTGCGTTCAAAGCCTATCGCCGTTTTCATCGGTCGCCAAGAACAGTCCCAGCAAATGGGCACGTGCCGGAGTGTCCGTGGCCATATCCGACAACAAAGACGTCCTTAGGTCGCTTCTCAAAATGCGGCGCTCAGCGTTTGGAAAACGCGACCGCGTGGCTTTGTCAGATTGTCGAGAGCTGCTCCAAGACTCTCTTGATAATCTCCACAAGTCCTTAGCCGTGCTCCGGACACTCAGAGCCAGCGAGTTCCAGGAGCAGATGAGTGATCTTGCCACATGGCTTAGCACTTCCCTTACGGATAAGGACACGTGTCTAGATGGGTTTGAAAAGACGTCGATGAAGTCAGCAAGGGTCAGGATGATCCGGAGGAGAGTCACAACGTCTATGTATTTGTCAAGCATTTCCCTCGCACTTCTTAATAAGCTAGCGGCTGATGGTTTGTAATCTTTTGAGTAATGAATTTTATAAAGCATCAAATTCCATGTATGTGTAAGACCATTATTAATAAAAGGTGTTGTATGGTTGAATACTATATGATTCTTGAGACACATGCATATGTATAACTAGAACTTTATAAGAGCATAGGCCTCCTCCATTTCGAAATGGGTAATCCCACTTGTACATGTCTTATGGTTTCCCAATTCCATACCTACTAAAATTATTATTTTTGTTGCATTTACACTAAATTATTTTACGATGACTAAAACATCTTTAAAATATCTCAAATTTTAAGATAATTTGCTAGCTAGAGTTACTCCCATACCAAAGGTGACCTTTATCAAGATTAGCAAATATAATTCAGGTAGTGATTATGGGTATCATAAATTGCCAAATAAGGAGTTTCTCGTCTTGCATTTCGAGTAATGCTTTTTAGTATTGGACCCAATCAATCTTACATTCCGAAATATTGTAGGCCAAGTTCAAGACCCAAGACACCAAACGAGTAACTACCCTGTCACAAAGCCAATCGTGAGAAGAAGTCGGTACCAACTTAGTGAGCACTCTAAAGATTATTATCCCTACCATTTTAAATCGTTCTTGATATTTTAAAATAGTAAGTTACGATGCGCCAAGCCCCTTTGAGCAAGTGCCAAGTGGCATAATATGCTCTGGCTTGATTTTTGAAAAATTCAACTACTACTAATCTACATCTTTAGTTTATAGTAAGTGACACCATTTAATTTACAAGTTTGATCTACATAATCTACTTATACTTTCGTAATTAATAAATATTGTATACTGGACTCGTTTACAGAATCTTGTTGTTAGCTAGTCTTATTCCATTGGTCATTAAAATTTCAAATGTTATTCATAAGAAAACAAAGATATTAATTTGATATTGAATTATGTTAGCCATCGCCAACCCCAAAAAGTTGGGCAAGAAAGTGAAGAAGATGTGGGGTTAGATAATACACCGGCACGAGAGAACAAGTCAACGTAAAACGCCAATGCTCGTTTCTTTTCTTTTCTTTTAATTCAACTCCGGATCCAAACATTTTTACGTGAGTTTTTAATTGTTTTACAAAAAAATATACCATAGTAAAAAGCTTAAATTCAGAAAAACTTCTTCAAGTTTGCTTCGCATAATTGTCTTTAGCTATACAGAACTAATTTGTGTGGCCAAGTGAGAGATTCCGACATAAACTAGTTGATAGCCTCAACTAACACATAAAATAAACACCATGGTACTGCAATCATTCAATTATGTATCTTCCATTGTCATTTCATACGAACATAATTAAATATAAATAGTAACAATTTCTTCATGTGTCGTGTATATCATCATACAAAACTGTATATATGCAATGCATGATTGTATTACGATTATGTTTAATTCATACTCCATAATTAACGCACACATTTGATCTAAAACAACGTGTGTTGCAATAAGCAACAACGTTTTGTTTTGTCTGCGCGATGTTGTTAATCTGTCCTTCCTAACCAAGCAAATATCTCTAAGTAGAGAGTTTTCATTGACTAGTTAATCAAATATATATATATATATATTTTTTTTTTTTTTTTTGGGCAAAATATATATATATATATTTAGGAACTCATGATATATTTCTAAACTTAGCAATCTGTAGTGGTTCTTTTCAACCAAACCGTTTCATTCTCTTCAATACCATTTTTAGATGACTGATACAATAGTAATGGCACCGTAAAAGATGGTTACACGTTGAGTCACTGAGATCTACTTACAACAAAATTGGATTTACCTTTAAATTTTGATTGCTCTGGAGTTTTTATTGAGTTAAGAATACGGCCAAGCAGACCAAACAACAAGTCACATTTAAAACTCATACACACTTTTTGTACACTATATATATCACGATTCCCAAACCATTAGTCATAAACGTTATGAATGTGATTATGTAAAAATCTGACAGTTACTTTGTTATAGGACATGCTTTTGTTTTAATATTATGTCTTCTCATTACTTCATTCGCAAATTATTAATTCTAAATGTATTATTGTGTTACTTTGATTGTAAATAACATCTATATATATAAAGTAATGTTTGCCTCCCTCTTACCTATGCCACGTCAGATATTACTTCAATCTGAATGTGCCACCTGTCTAATTTCGTTGCTTTCCGTTTGGTGGAGCAATAATTTTGGGCTTTAATAATTTAGTTATTTGGGCTGTAATATACATGATCGGAGTCCACCATTTTTCCTCAACGTCTTCAATACCGTGGCTAACCATCTTTACGGTTACGACCGTTCTTGAACTTTGTGATTCTAAACCAAGAATGGAGTTTCATTTAGGTTACGGAGGATGTCTATTTTCCGGTCAATCTCCGGTGTATGCCGTTGTCGTGTCAAACCGATAGGACTTCTCCCCTCTTGCAATGGAAAATTAGCAACGTTACGGAACTCATCTGGATTCAATCAGTGTCATTAATGTTCTTCTTAGATTCATCTCCTCCACTCCTTCCATGATTCTTCATTCAATGCTCCCACCTTGCCTCCAGTCGGTCAATCTACATATATAAATAGGTGAGATTTGATTCTGTAAATCTCATCATTTTATTCTTTGCATCATATTAACTCAAAAAACGTTTGCAGAGAATAATGGCAAAGTTCTCTCGCCTATGAGGAAGCCTGAGACCTCCAGGAAGAAGACAATCGTCAAAAAAGAGAGAAACACAGTAGGAGGAGTAAAGCGGTGGTGATGGAGGAGAGGAGGATGAAGGCAGTGAAGAATAAAGAGAAGCCATAGATGATAGTGAAGTGGATAGTGAGATGAGTGTATCAATGGAGAGTTGGATGGAGGTTTCTGCATAAAGTAGGCCTTTCTGACCATTGCTCTCTTTTCTTCTCTACTGGCTTTAATTGGGTCGATTTGGTTTCAATTGAGTTGATTTATCATCAAAATAATTTTCTTTTATCCCCTTTCGTCCATTGATTTGATTCATATTCAAGCTAATTATTATTTTTAGAGATGAATTAAAGTTGAAAGTGCAATCCGATGGTTTCAGATTGATTTGTTTGCAATTGGGACTGTGCCTCTCTTTGGGTTTGAAGTGATGTGTATGTGTGTAACGTTAGGTCTTTTCGCGGTGACGGAAGCTTGGTTTGAAGGCTATTTCATCGGCTAGCTTGAAGCATTGTTATTTTCCAGTGGTTTCAGAGTTTACCGGCGTGATCCTAAGTCGGTGGTGAATGGCGGTTTGAATTGCTACTTATTGGCACGTGTCTTCCCGTTTAACGAAGTATCTCTCTTTCTCTCTTGATGGTTTAATTTTCCTCCTATTTATTTGCTATATTTCACGAATCTATTTTGTTTGTAATGCATTTTTAATCTCTTTAGATGTATTTTCTCAGAGTTTCTTCCTGCATTAAATAAGATCGTCGAGGTTCTCGATCCTAACAGTGGTCTATTTGGTTCTCTTGGGGTGACGCTGATTGTCAGCATGAGACACTTGAAAATCTGAAAATTACTGTATGTTCTCTTCTTTTGTTTGCATCATTGGATTTGATTATTTGCATACGCCTGTTGAAAGTCCTTTATGGGTTCTTTCGGGTATGCTTGATACTGTGGGACCTGATTTGCATGTTATCAACATTTCTGAAGAAAGCTATTACTCTCAATAGACTTCTGACTTTAAAAACGAACATATATCAGTAAGAAGCCTCCTCTGAAATCCTTCCCATTAATTTATTGCCAACGTTCATTCTCTACGAGAATGAGATGGTATCATTTATATAATCAGTGGTTTAGTTTGTTTGATTTTAGTTTTTTGATCTCCTAATACTAGACTCACACAAGCTTTGTTTGCATGGTGGTGAGGACCACCCAGATGATGAGGGCTATTAATCTCTCTGTAGACTCAACCCCAATTGTAAATAACAATGGAAGGCTGTTCAGAAGTGTCCAAAGCTCCACACTGGTCAACACTAAGGAGGAAACAACAGATAGTGACAAGGGTCCAAATCTTAAGAAACAATAAAGGGTCTTGATCGTTCCACCTATGGAGACAAATAGACAATGAAACTGGCCAAAAGTTCCCCATTCCCTTTTTGGTTCCTAAGTTCTTACCCTTCACTGAATAATGTAGTTGTCTTGCAACTTTTTAATTATTCAGTTCTGATTTTCATTAGTTAACGTATTATTGGGACACCTGGTAATTTTAGTATTTATGTTCTGGTGATGAAACTTTTTTGTTAACCAGATTTTTGGTTTCTTATTGTTTTTGTTCCATTTTGGGAGACAGTCAAATGTATAGCAACAATAAACACTACTATTACAATAAACAGATGTATTTAAAAAATAAAAAATAAGCAGAGATGTCTTAAGTGAAAAAAAAAAAAAAATTTAAATTAAAATAAACCAAAGTAATTCAATTCTAATAGTGCAGACTAAAGTAAATAGTTGTCAAGTCTGAAAAAAATACCGCAATACACAATAATTCGATAAGAAATAAACAAGGAGACTATGAAATAAATAAATTATTATAATAGAAAGAAAAGTTAAGTGTTCTAATCAGAGAATCATAACTANAAAAAAAAAAAAATTTAAATTAAAATAAACCAAAGTAATTCAATTCTAATAGTGCAGACTAAAGTAAATAGTTGTCAAGTCTGAAAAAAATACCGCAATACACAATAATTCGATAAGAAATAAACAAGGAGACTATGAAATAAATAAATTATTATAATAGAAAGAAAAGTTAAGTGTTCTAATCAGAGAATCATAACTATGCATGGTATTATTATTCAATTTAGGCAACCATTTTTTATTTCTAATTCAAATATCATATCATATATAAATATGGGTTGAAATGTAGCGGTTGTGAGAGTATTCGAGTGTGGGTGTTTGCGGAATAATTATGATTGGTTAGTTATGAGATATTGCAACAGTTTAATAAGAAAGTACTAATATTAATATATTAAAGCAACATAAAATATTAAAAACATAATATTATAATATAATATAATTAATAAAAATGTTACATTTTTTAATTTATTTAGATGAAAGTAATAATTTCACTAAATTTTTTTTTGAGTATTTATATTAGAACTTTTAAAAGAATATTCAATTGTCAATGAGATTTAATCATCAATCTAAAAACCGATATCTAAAATCTAAAATTCATAGACCAAAAAAAGAAAATCTAATACCTAAAATTTATAATAAAAAACATAATCTAAAATCTAGAAACCGAATAAAGAATCATAATCTCTATATCAGTAGCGGTAAAAATTACAACACAATTCAATCAATCTCACCCCCAGGTTTACTTTCTTCGTTTAATATTTGCTCCAGTCTATTGTATTAATCAAATACAATAGGCCATAAAATATCAAGCCCACCTAAAATAAATATAGAGGAGAATTAAAATCAAAGGGGGGGGGGAGAAAACATCCAGTGATGTTCGATTATACAACAAACGATTTGGTATGAAAAAACGAAGTTACGAAGGAAAAGCGTTTTAACACACTACGACCAAATGAAAATAATTGATTACTATTAATGTTATTGGACCACCTGTCAAAAACCCAAAGATAATTAAACATAATTAACTTTACCAAAACATATTTAAATAGTTAGAAATAGACAACTTCCTTTAACCACCAGACAAAAATACTTCAACAAAATTCATAACAAACACAAATTGGCTCCAAAAAGTATAACCTCAGCTAAAATTAGTTAAACATCTCGGCATACAACAGATAATTATCAACGCAATACAGAAGCAACAAACAACCATCATACCGAAATGAACTCATACACAGCAAGAAAACTCATGAACATTCAAAATATATATGATTTACACATGTCATGTCACACGATGAATAAAAATCCAATATACAGACATATAAATATTCGTTATGGCACTCACTGCCAACAACATCAATATCCAAATATATAAATATCTAAAACTCATTAATATCATATCCCAGACGTATTGTCTTAAGATGTAACCGTGGACCTACTACCTATCGATAACCACTACTGGGTTAATAACCAAATAAGTTAAAAATACAAAATTTCTATATCCATAACCAAACCAAAATAAATTAATGTAAACATATAATCCCACCTCTCGAAAATTTTTAAAATTAGAAAATAAAAACATAATAACAAAACTTTCCAATGCAAACATAACAAAAAATACGAAATTCAAAACGTACCTTATCCGTAAAGAATATCCCGCCCGTAGGGCGGGCCGACCCTAGTAAAGGAAATAAAGAAAACACGAACGTCGAAATCACTCAAAGCTCATACCAAATTGGCTTTGAGTGCTAAGTTAGGGTTTGGCATTGACTTTGTGTTACGTGACCATTAGCACACACACCTAACGAACCTATCACATCATTAATCACATTAATTTTTACAATTTGCGTTTTAGAAATATCATAAAACCATATTATTATATTGTTGCAAAATAATGGACAAAGCAACACCTATTATTAATGTCCGCTATTGAAGGAAAGTCCAAAGAAAAAAAACAAAAACAAAAATTGCCCCCCTTCTAATTCGTTTACTAATCAAAAGGGTATAATCGTAATAAGAGTGAATAATTAGCCTTGATCCGTAACGCACTCGCTACTTAAATACACACAAAGACCGATTCGCTTTTCACTCTCGTTCAAACTCGACTCAGTTCCCCGCGAGTTCGACTCAGAGATATTTTTTTCCTTAGAAAAGAAAAAAAATGGCGAGCGAGCTGATAAACCGTCGACACGAAGCGGACCAACCAGCATCCGACGCGTACTACCCGAAACCAATCAAACCATGGTTCTCCGTGACACGTCCCATGCGTTACATGCTCCGTGAACAAAGACTCGTCTTCGTCCTCGTCGGCATTGCAATCGCAACACTCGTTTTCACACTCTTCCCTCGCGCCACGCAATCCACTCCTTACTCGGATCCGTTCTCCGGCTACGGAATCCGATCCGAGGAGGATTCGTCGTACGTTCCGGCCTTTCAGGCCCAGAGGAAGCCCAGTCTCGAGTACCTTAACCGTATGGGAGCAACAGGCGGGAAAATCCCGCTCGGTTTGAAACGCAAAGGGATGAGAGTCGTTGTCACGGGTGGTGCTGGGTTCGTGGGATCGCATCTCGTGGATCGGTTGATGGCGAGAGGAGACACTGTTATCGTTGTTGATAATTTCTTCACGGGGCGTAAAGAGAACGTTATGCATCATTTTGGTAACCCTAATTTTGAACTCATACGTCACGATGTTGTGGAGCCGATTTTGCTTGAGGTTGATCAGATCTATCATTTGGCTTGCCCTGCTTCCCCTGTTCATTACAAGTTCAACCCCGTCAAGACTATCATATCCTTTTTAACATATATATTTTTTTTTATTTAGTTTCTTCAAAGAGATGGAGTGTTTTGGTTGTTGTGTTTCTTGACTTAGTGTGTGTACAAGACCAATGTGGTCGGAACGTTGAACATGCTTGGTTTGGCGAAGAGAGTCGGTGCTAGGTTTCTTCTGACGAGTACAAGTGAGGTTTACGGTGATCCTCTTCAACATCCTCAGGTCGAGACTTACTGGGGCAACGTTAATCCCATCGGTAATCTCTTCCTAATTATTTATCCTTTCTTTATTTAAGTTTTTTTTTTTAAAAGAGCGTGTTCTGTTTTGTTTGTTGTTCATTCATTGGTTGTCGGAATATGAAAACATATTCCCACCGTTACGTGTACACGACGACGTTTCAAAGCTTTTCTCTGTCTTTATGTGGCTTTTTGAATTTTTCTTTCTAATCACCGTGTCGGAAAATGCGCACGTTAAGGGGGGAGAGAGGGTTGAAAAAACAGGTGTTTTATGGTGCGCCTCACGTGCTTTTCCCTTTCAGATCTAGACCCCATTTGTGTACAGTCAAACTATTGAACCGTGAAAAAGGGGTCTTTCTGATCGTGCGGCTCCCATACGTGTCTCTATCTTAGACGCAGCCTCCTCTTCCACATTAACTGCTAGCCTTACATTCATTCAATTACCCGCTTTTTAAATTCGAAAGCTTTTTAATGATTTCTGTTTTTTTTTGCTTTTTACCGACACGGTTATCTTAACGACACGTGTCTACTCTCTGTTTTCTTTCTTTTGCCATCATACCTCTCTTATTACTGTCTTGCCGTCATAGCTTTTTAATTACTGTCTTCTTGCGAGACGTGGTTAATTAATCATGTTCCTTGTGCTTTGGTTAATGACTGACACTGTGGGTTGTAATGGTTGGAATAGGTGTTCGTAGTTGCTACGACGAAGGAAAGCGTACCGCAGAGACGCTAGCCATGGATTATCACCGTGGAGCCAATGTTGAGGTTGGTTATATTTATGTCTAGTAATCAATAAGAAAGAAGAGTTCCAGAGCGTTTGCAATGACATAACTTTGTACCTAACAGGTCAGGATTGCTAGGATCTTCAACACCTATGGTCCAAGAATGTGTATTGATGATGGGCGTGTTGTCAGCAACTTCGTTGCGCAGGTTAGTTATATAATAATCAAGTGGCACGAATAGTATATATGAATAAAAGAATGGTTTAGTGGATCGTTAAGAGTAATGATGGTTTGAAATTGGTATATAATTGAACAGGCACTAAGGAAAGAACCTTTGACTGTTTATGGTGATGGGAAGCAGACAAGAAGTTTCCAGTTTGTTTCTGATTTGGTAAGACCCTCTTCTTTTTTTCTCCTTTTAAGAACGATTCAATATAATACTTTTACTACACATTGCCAACACACTAGCTTTTACTCTGTTGTCTCTTTGGTCCAAGTTAAGATTTATTAGAGAGAGGTTAAAAACAGGGGAAGTTAATGTGAGTGAGCTCACATGTTATTGTAAGAGAATAGTGTATTGTGTTGTGGGATCTAATAGCAAAGACTTAAAAACGTGAGACCCAAATCTCTGACAGACATCACAATCGGTCCCCAATTAAGCAATCTTATGAATGAGGGGATATCAATATCATGTGCTAAAGGACCAAATGGGGTAGTCTGAATTTTATTGCCCATTATGTCCTCGTTAGATTTTTTCAGCTGTAAACTGAGTCTGATTTTGTATGCATAAAGGTCGAAGGTCTGATGAGATTGATGGAAGGAGAACATGTAGGCCCGTTTAACCTCGGTAACCCTGGTGAATTCACCATGCTCGAGCTCGCTAAGGTCTCTTTCTATATACTTATCTATATCCTTTTGCTTTCTTTACATGGAACCCCAAGATTCTGATGCCTTTTGAGTTTTGGTTGCAGGTGGTTCAAGAGACGATTGATCCAAACGCAAACATAGAGTTCAGACCAAACACAGAAGATGACCCTCACAAGAGAAAGCCTGACATCACAAAGGCCAAAGAGCTTCTTGGTTGGGAACCAAAGGTGTCTCTTCGTCAGGGACTCCCTCTCATGGTCAAAGACTTCCGTCAACGTGTCTTTGGTGACCAGAAGGAAGGCTCTTCCATGGCTACAACCACCACCAAGACAACCTCAGCTTGAGCAAACGCAGATGCAAGTAGCAGCCGTTGCAGTTGGTTAATGGTTTATACCAGAAAAGTGCAAGGCACTGCTTGCAGCTACAATGTGGAGAGAAGAGAGAGCTTTCGTTTCTTGAAATTAATTTTTGTTTTTAATTTCCTATTATGATATTATATTCTGTGTAACGTAGAGTAAGAGTTTGGTTCCTTTACTACTTTATTCATGGACCTCACTACAGTTTAAGATGAACCTTTGGTGTTTTGCAATTACAAAGTTTAGTGGCATATATCTACTTATAGTAGTTCTCTCTGCTTGGTGCGACACTAAGAATTTGACAACAAGTTGCGAGAATCATCATGTAAACAACAACTACGAGAAGATATCTCAATCAGAACCACGAAACTTTTATAGTTTAACCCCAAAAAGACTTTTAATCTTTAGCTAAGCTTAGTGGCACTACGCAACGCCGCCGTCTTTAGACATAGGAGGCAAAAGAGAACACAAGTGAAAAATACAAGCAACACTAGTTCTTAATACTCAGTTTGATGCAACAGTTAGGATTTGACGAAAAGAAGCGAGAACTATCATATGAAGAAACAACTACGAGCAGACATCTCAAATTCTCTCTCTCTCTCTCAGTCTCTGTTTCTTACTTGGGATTCCTGAGGACGATAATGACAGAGTCACCGCGGAGAAACATCTTGCTGATGAAGCGATCTCTGTTGACGGGAAGAGCTTTCTTCTTTCCTTTTCCAGTTTTAGGGACCTTAAGAAAACCCATGTAAGAAATCACAAATCCATATTCACAAGTGTGTAACTCAGTCCACATACTGAAGAAAAAAAAAGATACAAAAAGAAAAGATTTACCTCAGTCCACATCTCTCTGACATTTTCGAGAACCATGTTGCAGTGCCTGTCAAAAGCCCTAACACGGCCAAGGAGTTTCCTGTTGTTGCGGCAGTTGATCAAGACCTGAGTGTTGTTCTTAACGCTCATCATCAGAACAGAGAGGGGACCGGTGTTGAACTCCTCCTCTTCCGTCTTTCCCTGCTAATCATCAAGTACATAGAAAAACATTATCAACATCCAAGGGAAAAGTAATTAAGTATCAATAAACAATGCAGTAACATTCAAACAGCCAAAAACTCTAGAGAGTAGAGATGACATACAACCAAGACATCTCTGCTCGCTATCATGCTAAGACTACGAATCAGTAGAGAACTAATAATAGCTAATCAAAGTAGCTCAAGCCCTAGCTATGAGGGATGAGATTCATATAACATGGCACAGATATCAGAGCTCTATGATTATTAAAGAGATAGGAGAAAGCAGTGGAAGAGATTCTGACTTACGTTGGTATCCTCTTCCATTGGCCTACTACTGCAAAATACGAAACCAAAAAAACAAGAAGTGTTAGATTGTAAAATATCTTTATTGAGTTAAGAGAGAGAGACGAAGCCAAGAACCCTTACCTCATGTTGGCTTGAAGCGAACTAAAATTATCTGAAGAAAAGAGGTTGAAACCTGCAGAGGATTCGAGTAACAATGAGCAGAGATATATTCGAGATAGAAAAGCAGATCGAAGAAATCAAATTAGGGTTTACCTTAAGCTAAATCGCGCTTTCCGTTTTCCAATTATCTCACCGGAAGCAGAATAGAAGAAAGGAGTCAACAACACTCGAGTATCATGGCGGTTAAACGAAGGCTCTATTTAAGGCCCATGGGCCTCAATTGTTTATATTTAATTATAAGTGAAACCCAAATATGAGTGCTAAGCTAAACTAACAAGAATTTTGCTGTAATTTTAATTAGGGGTGGGCACAAACGAGTTCTTGGTGTTTTTGATATACTTAGTACTCGGCTTGGCTTGTATGAATATTCAAATTTTGGATTTGTACTTGGTTTGTTAAAAACGAGTACTTGCAGTTTCAAGTACTTGCGAAAATTGATGGATTTGCAAGTTACTTGTCTTGTTTTATTATTTGTTATTTGTAATTTTTTTACAAATTACTTGATAACTATTGATAAATTATTTGATAATTAGTTAAAATTTAAAACTAAATAAATTTATTATATATAAATAATATGTCATTCTTTTCATTTTATCATTGTTTTCTGATTTTTAATCATTCGTGAAATAGATTATATTAAGAAATAAAAAATTTCAAAATGTTTATATAAATATATCACTTATGTTTGATTCCCTTATAAAAATTGAAATATAAATGAATTGTTTTACAAATATTTAGGAAAATGTATTTTTGCTAATTGAAAAAAACGAATAATAAACCAAACAACGCTGGATAATTTTTTTTTATTATTATTTTGTATTTGTTTGTATTTGAAGGCAGTTTAAATAGACTTTTGATACATATCTTAGTCAAAACAAGTATTCGACTTTAAAGATCGTGTACCAACTAAATAGTGAACATGAGACAAGTAACAAGTAATTGTGGCCACTCATAAAATACATAAATTTTAATTAATTAAAAAAATATATACTAAGTATTCAATAAACCAAATAATATATAACAAGTAACTAGTAAATGATAACAAGTAATAAACCAAGTAACAAACCAAGTAGTTAAAAATTAAAATGAACTTTATAATTGATTTGTACTTGCGAGTAATAAAATCCATTTACTTGTTAATCGACTTGAATGGAACAAGTACTTGTTTTTTTAAACCAAACTGAATCAAATAGCGAGTACAAGCCGAGTATCAAGCATTTGTACCTAGCCCTAATTTTAATTTATTTGTAAACAGATATTTTTATACACATTTGATTTCTTTTTACCCAAACAAGAACGAATGTTAATAAAACAAACAAACATAATGAAACAGAGATTATTACTGTGTTTAGTTTATTATTACATAGAAGATCGATGGACCACACGGCCTCCACCGCCAAGGATACTAGCCTGTTCTTGTTTAGGTTTCCCTTGATCGTTAGAAGCGACCTTTTCAACATTTGCGGTGAGCGAAGTTGCGTCGACGGTACGGACATGAAGCCAGTTAATGATGTCAGCAAAAACGAGGTCAACGTTAGCGTCAGGCTCACCAGAAGTCAACCCATGCCACATCCCAGGATAAAGTTTAATGGTTTTGTCACGTGTGCTCGCTTTCTCGAACAGAGCTTTGCTAATCTCTGGATCAGTCACTGTGTCTGCTTCACCGTGGAGAACAAAGAAGGGTAATGTGATCTCGTGGAGAGTGTCTTCCAGGTTCATGCTTGTCCGGAGCATCTCAAGTGCGGTTTTAAGTCTTGGTTTGTCTTGATATATCAGCTTGTTGTTCCTTATCTACATTTTAGGAATGAACCAAGTTTTGATTAGGATATATACTTGGCTCTCAAGTTAGGTTTTGATTAGTACCTGTTCGCGCTTGACCGGATCTTTGAAGGCAGCATCGATAACATCTTTGGTGGGGACGATCTTCCATTTTGGTATAATCTCTTCCACTCTTGTCAATAGATTAATCACTACTGGATGTGGTTTCACCTTCTCTGATATCTGCTCACACAGCACACACACTAAACTAGGTAATTAAATGCTATAACTAAGGTGACTTCTGTATCAACTTGGGTTTAAAATTTGGTAATGATAGAGAGTAGAAGCAACGTGACACCTTACCTTACACATAGGAGCGACGAGGATGGCACCATTCCAGAAAGAAGGATCTTTCTTGTGTAGCAAGAGAGCAACCGCGCCCCCCATGGATTCTCCATACAAGAATCTGCCTTTTTCTCTGTATTTTTCTTGCGCTTTAAGAAACCAAAAATCAAGTGTTAGTAGTTAGTTACTTAGTTAGGTGGATAGAGATTGGTAGCAGATATGATTAAGGTACCAGAGATTGAGGTGTAATAATCGTAGCAGTCGTTTACTATGTCACCGAACTTTTTGATATAACAACGAGCTCCTTTGGACCGACCATGACCTTCGTAGTCCATTCCAAATACCGCATATCCTGCTGAAGCCAGCCGTATCCCGCATTCTAATTCAAACATTAACAACTTTATCAAACAATAGAGAAAAGTCTGCTCAATACCCACTCTTTCGGTAGGGAGAAGCAATTATTATAGTTTTGTAAATCAACTTGAAATTTTGGCAGATTCAAGAAACATATACTTAGTTGGCAAAGACCACAATCAAAAAGGCCGGTCACGAGTTACACGTTGCACAAAGGAAGGGAGAGACAGAAGCAAATGTTTAAATCCGTGGGGACTCTATTATATACTCTTTCTTGCCAACAAGTTATTACTTTTATAGTTAGGTACACACGATCACGTTGGTATTATTATTGGAGACACAGATACCTCCATTTATAGTCTCTTACTAAGTTACTAATATGATAAAATTCTTTATTGGCCATATTATCTCCCTAAAACTCGGTCACACACCGGCATTTAGATAAGTTAGAGCAAAGCAAATATATATATTTTTTGAAGATAAGGATAGTGTTAACGTTTCCCAGAAATTAAAGGGATAACAAACAAAAAGAGCCACTAGATGAGAATGGTCAAGGAAACACGTGGATAATGTAGATGACTAAATCATAAGTCACAAAGCAGACAAAAGTGCACTAATCAGTTATGAGCATAATTGTGCAACCAGGCATATTCTTATGTTTATATTATCTTTTCGAACCAAACTTGTTTTTTTTTCTAACATCAACACAACACAAGTAATGCAGATGATACGCCATTAGGAATCGGATATGCAATATGGTCGATGCTGCATACAACAAATTCAATCTAGAATGCAAGTGAAGTGTAACAAACACGCAACCTATGAAAAAAAATCAAACAAAAATTTGGACTAGAGATAATTATGTATTTAAAATTATACTCTAGTATGTATTGGGGGGAGAGTAGGAGCATTAAAAAGAGATGAGAAGAGGATGATAATTAAATACCACTCATGAAGCCGCTGCATTCCATTCCGTAGCCTGCACGTTGATCAACGCTTCTTTTATTTTATTTTATCTTGAGGATTTTTTTAAAAGAATTAACTAATTTAAAAAAAAATATTCGATGAACAGGAAATGAAAAGAAGAAGAAGTTAATAACCATGGCAGAGGAAAATGAGAGCTCTGGGAGAAGAAGAAGATGGAACCCATCTGCAAGCGAACAACTCGACGCCTCTCGAGTTTCTTATGTTTTCCTGTTTAGTAAATTAAAACACGAAACCGTCAAAAAAGTAAAAAAAGTCGTTTTATGTATCCTGAAACAGAGAGACTGTGAGAGAAACCTCCTCGTAATCAAACTTTAACTTCGTCATGCTCCTCGTGTTATATGCTTTGAAATATTCTTCTTTTTATTGCCGCCGTGGAGAGAGAGATAGAGAAAACGAGCTCTTTGCGTTTGTGAAGAAAAGAGAAGAGAGCCAGACGGAAGATTAAAAAGGCGGTTACAGTATATCTATGTTTTAGTGATTGATGAGATCATATCTAATTATTATTTTTTTCTAGTGGAAAATAATTTAGAGCAAAAAAACAGAGTATCATTCAGAAGAGTCCTCCTTTGTCTTCTGGTTTTGGGCTTTTTATTTTCGGGGAGATGTGTGTTTGGACCTATTTGTGGGTCTATCAGAGAGTGACAGACACAAACATAACAAGAAAACTTTTGAAGATGAGGTTATGCTGGGCTTATGAATCAGAATCCCACTCACTCATTCATTGGTACCACAAAATATAATCAATCAAACATTACATCCTTAAAATCATTCAACCTTTCATCACTTTGGAAATGGATAACACTGTTTTGATTCTTTTAAATAACAAGCGCCAAATACAAGTAGCTAAGGATCATGAATCCATTTTCTGAGACTAGAGTTACACTAAACATTACGCCCATATTAATCGCTATGGTTTTAATTTGCCGAAAATGGAGAAGTAACTAGGTAAATAAATAGAGAGCAAAAGGTATAACAAAACTGGATAATATCCTCAAGAGTGCAACATCGATGGTAAGAACATAAAGTTTTAGAGTATTCCATGAAATCGCTAAACAAAACCATATCATCATTAGTAATGATTCATTACTGTGTTTCTGCCTAGTTCATTCTCTGGGCAGCCTCTTTGGCAAGAACTCTCTCCTTAGCTTTGGTCTTGGCTTGAGACTTGGATCCCATTATCCCTCCTCCCCACTTCTTCCTGTACTCCTCGTACTTGTCATTGAAGTTTGCCTATTCACCCCACCAAACCAAACAAGTTAAAAATATGGCCAAGTGTCTCAATGAGAAACTTATATTGAGTCAATCTTTTATTAGATTACCTTGATGGCTTCAAGGATTTTGCTGAACTCGAGCTTGTCCTCGTTCTTCACAGTGGTCAAGCACAAGCAAGCAGCAGTCTTCTGATGAACGACCTGCAAGTAGATGCGAGAAATGGAACATCAATCAAGTGAAAATACTAATCAAGTGAAAATGCATTATTGAGAGGGCGAATCATATTTACCGTTCCAAGACGGGATTTGCCTTTAACAATGCAGTAAGGAACTTCCATCTTTCTGCAAAGAGCAGGTAACCAGACGACCAACTCGATGGGGTCAACATCGTGTGCAATGACGACAAGCTGTGCCTTGTTCTGCTCGATGAGGTAAGTGACGTGGTTGAGACCATACTTGACGACAATAGGCTTCTTGGATTCAGAAGGCTTTCCATCAGCTTCGGCTTGAGCTTTCTTCAAAAGACGATCCTTCTTTGCAGCCTTGTCCTCTGGCCTGTACTTCATAAGAACCTTGAATAGCTGTGTTGCTGCAAAATTTAAGAAGAAATATACAGAGTTTTTTAAATTGTTAAAAAAAAAAGAGAAACAATGTTGAAGAAAGAAAGAGAGAGATTATTATTGTTACCAAGGTTCTTGTCAAGAGTCTTGGTGAACTGATTCAAAGCTGGAGGGACCTTGAGCCTCTGCTTAAGGATACGCTTCTGTCTTTGAAGACGGATTGACTTAGGCCATTTGATGTAACGAGTCAAATCCTTCTTAGGAGGCAAAGCACCACCGATACCAAATTGCTTTGGCCTTCTCTCAAACAATGGATTAGTAACCTTCTCCTGAAAAAATAAATAGAATTTAAGTTAATTATGGACAATGCTATATTGATAACTTCATAGAGAAAACAAAAAAAATAAGAGCATATTACCGTTTTCTTCTTGGCAACAACTTTCCCTCCTTTTTTGGGTGCCTAACAAATATCACAGAAACGCATATCAAACAAACGAAAGTTAATAATCCATACGCATCAGTACATAAGGACCTAGAAGAAGAAGCAACGGATTCCACAAGACAAATGTAAACAAAGCTAGAATCCTCGTCATGTAATATTTTATTCCAGTTTCAGACAGAAACAGTCCAAAGACCATTGCAGATTGGTTATGAATGAACAAAAATAATCGAGTAGGAGGACATAAACAACAGATAGATAGATCCAGAAGCAGAACGAAAGTAGTAATGAGTATTGCGAAGAGGACATTACCATTGCTACAGGTGGGACGGCGGAGAGTGGCAGAGACGGACTCTCTCTATTTAGGGTTTTGTGTTTATCACTTTCATTACCCTTATTTATTTATATATATAAAGGACTGATCTAATTCTCTGATATTACATTTTTGGACACGTACCTTTTTTTATTTCATTTTTGAGTGAGGCAAAATCATTTTCTGGACCAATCATGTAATTTTTGAGGATTGTCTTTTTCATTTCTCTTTTCTTAGTTTTAAACAAATTTAATATCCTTTTCATTTCCAGTTATAACCAGAATTATAGTTTTTCTAAACTCTAGATAATTACAAAAAAAAACACCAGCATACAAAAATTATTGACTGGGTCAATGTAATCAGTGGTCAGTAAAATTATGTTTTTCTATAAAAAGATATTTTCTGTCATCTTTGATGAACAATGTACAGTTTATATATTAAGGCCATTACAACCAACCAGAGAAGGCATACATAAGCGTAAGACTCTCATTGAGTTGAGAATTTTCAGTTTAAAAAAACTAACATATTGGTTTAAGCTACAAAGAGCAGAGGAACCAAAGTCTGTTTCAAAACTTGTGCCAGGAAAATCACATCGGAAAGTCATCGGTAACCCCAAGCTCCTTCGGCAGAGCAGTAAGACGGCAGAACTCTATTTGTAACTTTTACTTTCTTTATCTACAAAGGAAATAGGACTAAACACTGCCAAGAGAAACAAATGGACATCAGACTTACGTTTTTTAGTAAATATAAGGCTCATACCTCCTAACAACTGAAAAAGACTATCACCACTACACGAAAAGCTACTACTACTCCAAACTCTTGTAATCTTATTACTTCCTAACAATCTGCATAAAACATTCAACCAAGGTTTAGCCCAGAGCTTGTAAACCAAAAGAAAACATATGTAGCAAAATGCCAAAGGATATACTGACCTGATACTGGGGTAACAGCTTTCTCTGTCTTGTGAAGGAGAATCAAGTACCACAAGTTACATCTTGGTTGCTCTCTATATATAATCCATACATTGTTACTGGATATTTAGTTGGAAAGGAAGTATCTGAAGGAGTTAAAATGTCACGTTCATTCCTTGGTTTATCAGAAACCTCTCATAGCAGACTCTCAGCGAGCCCCTTCTTGGATTTTTGTACAAATGATTATGAGATCCAAAGCAAATGCTGAAAACGCACGTGGAGTCGCAAGGCAACAGAGGATTCAGTGTTTTGCCTCTTCTTCTCAGACTTTTGCAAATAAGTTTCTTGGTGTTAGCTGTTTTTCACCGGTTATTGGCTTTCATAGCAAGCTTCACTAAACGTAGCAACCCCTCCAAGTCTTGGAAGTTATAATCAAGGGCGCTTTTAATGGATAGAATTCCCTCTCCTTGTTGCTGGGCCTCCCCCAAGTTTTCAATAGAAGCTGCCAATGCCACGCGTGATTTCCTCGAGGCATCCATTCCCAGATTTACGTTCTGAGCCTACAAACAGTTTAGAGTAGCTGAGAATAATCACACTGGCCTACTAGGTTCACGTTGTAAAGCTAACCAATCCTACCACTTCATCTCCCATTTTTCACGAACTCTATTTATCTCAAGTATAGCTGGTGGCAAAGTGAAGCATTAATAGACTTACAAACTGAAGTAGACGTAAAATACTAAAGCGGTTTTGCGCAGTAATGACTTGATGATTCCCAGCAACTAAAGGAGAGCTGATACCCCTTGAGTTTCCAACTTTATCTGCTCCTGCTGGATGGTTCACGTTATCAACGTCCGAGGCAGAAGACGAAGGAGACTCACCTAATCGTCAGTCACAAGATGAAGATTATAACGTGAAGAGAATTTCAAAAACATTGGCAGGAATTTTGAGTATCTCCGACGACTATCTTACCTGGAGGAACCATTTGCAAAGAAGTCTGCAATTCATTTCGATATCTATTAGCATTCGGGTAAGAGGAATTGACCACCCTCATATACGCGGCTTCCATGCATTTATAAGCCAGCGCAGCAGCTCCCATATCTTTAGACATCTCATACTCTTGAGCACAAAATCTATCATGAAAAAGAGGTTTTACAAATGGGAGAAAAGGAAGGAACAGATATATTCCTTTTCCTCACTATTCTAAATTACCCGCATAGATTCGCTGTGCTAAGATAGATATGCACAGACTGGGCCATCGTGTCTCCATGTCTAGCACTCTCGTTGCTGCTCATTTCCATAACAAAAGCACCATGAAGAAACTTGAGGCAAGCCTGGAAGTAGAACTCAATGAACTCAAGGTTTGAGACAGAGTCCTGCAGCAACAACAAAAGCAAGACCTGAGAACAGAATACAAGATGACACCGCAGCTGAATTATGAGAGAAAAAAAACCTTGAGGCGATCAGCCGTGTGTTTTAAGTCTTTAGCTTCTTTTAAAATATTATGGGCAGCTTGCACAGATGTTACTTCCTTTCGCAAGGGGCTCGGAGAAGGCTCGTTTTTCCTTCTTATTTGGGTTGTTGTCTTTGTATCAGCTGAAGTGTCATCGACTTTCTTACGGGCAGACACTATAGAGGAATCCCCTTGGACACCTCTAGATGGTGGCCGTGATGGAGAAGCCAAATCTGCTTTATTACTACTCCTTTCTGATATTCTTTCACCGTCATAAGGTTTTGGAATGTTAGGTCTCACTACCACATCTACTCTACTTTCAGGACTATCATGGTATATCTTCTTATCAATTTGTTTCGGACCATCCCGTGAATCAGGCATAATGCTCTTGTCTTTGGACCGAGATGATAGACCTTTCCCCGATGACTTCTTCCCCAAAGAATCATTGCTATGACGATGATGATCGCTAGGCTCAGTACGCTCTTTGGCTTTCAACGATCCTTTATCATCCCAAACATCAAGCACAGAAGATTCATTTGATCCATGTTTGTCTTTTGTCCGCGTTTGCGATCTATCACTCCCACCATCATCTTCACCTTCATCATTACCTGCGGCGAATACGTTAGTATCTATTTTCTTCTTTCTCGCAGGTACACTCTTCTCCGGGTTGGAAATCCTCATAGGTGAGGACGACACCGACCCAACAGGCGAACATTTAGCTTCGTGGGAGCTGTGTCTTGGTTTATGAGAATCGGAAATCTTAGAAGAACTAGACGTGGTCGCAACATGTCCGTACTCCCTTCTTGAATGACTTCTGTTTTTCTTTTCCGTCTTCTCATTTCCGTGAGAGAAACTTGGCTCTTTTTCTTCTTTAACTACTCGAGCTTTCTTCCCCTCATGGTTTTCTTCCTCACCATACAGACGAGAACCAAGGCTTTCTTTCAGTTTTCTCTTTTTACTGCCCCCTGTGCTATTTCCCGTGTCTGAAGCTCCTCCTCCTTCCTCTTTTGGCATTTTAGAGGTGATTCGAGGCTTGGAATTTCTCTCTGCTGACGCAGCAGGGACACCACTACTCGAGGTAGGACGCACATTGGATTCATCAGGAAACAGAAAACTTTCAATCTTCATTTTCTTGGCCAGCATTGAGCTCTCTTCATCTGTCTTCCTTTTGTTATTCACCTTCAACCTCCTTGACTCATCAGAAAATTGATCCACTGCTTTTCCTTTCACTTTCTGTTTGTGTTTCTGCCTTTCTTCGTCGACCAGGTCACTATCACCATGCGAATTGTGCACGTTTCCATTTCTTGCAGATGTTAGGATGGTCTTCTTGTTAGTGTCAGCAGTTCTAGAAACTTCTTTATCCATTCCATTGTCTACCTTTCTTAAACCCTTTTTCTTCTTTTTTGTGTTGTCATCGCCACTGGGATTACTCTGCATTGGAGCTTGGCTGTCAGGTGCAGGAATCTGATACAACGCATACAGAGCTTTCGTTGTTTCTTCTTCAGGAACATTGCAATAGTTCAGATCAGGCCTAAAAACACAGATTATCACAAAGAGAATCAAACACACGTTCCAGCCAATAGATCACGCCGACAAAATAATAGGACCAATGACAGAGAAGTAAGATAACTCACAGCCAATTAAGCATTGAGCACATCCATTTCTTAGGAAGGTCTTCTACTAAGACACCGTAAGGAAGAAGCCGCCACTTTCCACATTTGTCACAACCAACCCAATTGTCTTGTATGATCACGGGATTTGCTTTCACAAGGGAAGGATCCGAACCAAGTTTGCTTATTACCGGTCCAGAACCAACGTTTTGAGATTCTACCCGTGTGAAGCTCGACTTTTCAGGCATATCTTCCAAGGCCGGAAGTCCCTTCTCGGTTACATCCAACGAATAATAATTATTATTCTCTTCTTCTTCTTCAAAATCCTCCATATCTCCAAAAAAGTCTTTGTAAGTGTCTTCAGTTTTTCTGCCATCATTTCTTGGTTTCAAGGCTGCCACTTCCTTCTTCTCAGCTTGACCATTCATCTTAGAACTTTTATGTTCCTTAAACTTCGGCGGCTCCTGTTCTATATGATCAGACTTCTGCTTTCTCCAAGAGTTATCTGGCTCCAACTTATGACCGCTTTTCACCTTTTTCGCACTTGTTTCTTTTTTGACTAAATCAGGAGCTTTACTGCCTTTGTATATGCCAACTTTCCTCGAGTATCCTGAAGTATCATCATTAGTCTTTTTATCTTCCCGAACACTTCCAGCTGAACTAGTCTTTGGATCTTTATGACGAGTTATATCCCACAATCCTCTGTCCACACCACCCACCATTTCCCCCTTGGCACTGCCATTGTAGATTTCCTTGAACCCATCAAATAATTTACTACTGCCTGTTTCGTTGTCCTCCGGATATGATGTGTTTGTTTCCGTCGGCTCCTTGACGGTGGCATCAATTCCATCTAACACACCCTTCTTACTGCGGAGAATTGTCTCCACCATCTTTTTCCTCTTCTCTACTGATTGTTTCTCCCCAGATTTTTGAGTTTCCACACCTTTGGCCATAGCAGAAGAACTCTCAGTGAAAAGCATAGACGGAGATGTATACTTATATCCGTTTTGGGGGTTTCCCCTTTCGATGAATCGAACCAGATCATCAGAGAGAGGAGATAGCAACTGAAAATGATCCACGGGAATGGAAGTCATTACCTGCATATAAAGAATGTACCAAAACGATGAGCATCTTAAAACAAAGGAGACCGCTTGAGTACTTGGAAACAAACAAACAACAAAAGAAAACCTCACATTAAGAATGCTGGTGGGAGACTCCAACGGAGAACAACCTCGAGGTTCCCCCTTCACCCCCTCACTACCTGAAAGACTATTATTATTATCTGATGACAAAGAAGGCGACACATCAAGTCCGAGGCCACTGTATATTGCGGCAGCATTATTATCTGTAGATAAATTATCTTTAGATCCCATCTTTATCCGGAGCTTAAGAGAGTTTTGTTTACTGAAGACACCAGGTTTCTTGGTTGCAGACTCCTGTCTGGAACAGGAGTTGGGTTTCTTGGATTTCACTGATTTTTTGGGGACTCTAGAGGACGCAAAGCCAGGTGTTGCCTTCTTAGGAACAGTAGACGAAGCTGCATTACCACTCTGGGACTGAGAGAAAATAAAAAAAAGGTTAAGAGATTAAGTATTAGTATAGCATTTACAAAATAAAAAAAAAAACAGAGAAAAAAAGAAACATATACCTCCCCCAGTAAGATGTTGGGAGATCTAGTCCCTGCAGAACTCTGAGGTTTAGCAGGTGTCTTTGGATAAGACCAAAGAGGGGAACGTTGATAAGTTGGCAAGAAAGAGCCATATCCACCAAATTTAGCCCCTGTAAATAAATATCAAAGGACTAGTTTCACACTTTTGTGAACCAAACGAAGAAGAAGCCACGCATGATGAACATACCAAGATTCTCAGCAGAAAAATCGCCCTCGAAGTCTCTCTTGAAATGTCCAAGTATGCTTTGAAGCTTGTCATCCTTCAAAAATAAACGAAGAGAAAAATAAAAGTAAAAAATCAAAACACTGAGTACTTCCCAAGATATCTTAGGTCTCAAACTTGTGTGTTAAGACACTAGTGAAGCGGATCAAAATAGCATTTTAAAACCTCTGAGAAAACTTTTTTCGGATAGAACTGTAACTGATGTATAAACTGTAAACTATTACATGGAACAACTACTCTCTTTTTTTCAATTCTCATGCTTAAGACTTCCAAAAAGAAGGTAATGAATGGTAATGAAATTACTAAACAAAAGTATCCATAAAATTCAAAACAATACCCATATCAATTTAAAAAACCTGTACCGAGTAAATAATCTCTCCCTACCAAAGAGACAAAGGTAAGAGAATGAGGGAGGGTGTTACAATGTAAGAGAGATCGTTGTCAGGGTCGATGGTTTCACCAAAATCATCATTAGTAGAAGTAGCAGTATTGTAAGAGCAAGCCTCTCCTTCTTCAAGCTCAGACTCCTCCTCCATTTATTCTCTTCCTCTTTTCTTACCAAACCCTAAGCCCTTTCTAACATTGCAATCTCCCCCAAATTAGAAGCACTATTTTAAAACCAACACCCTAACACAATACTCTTTCTCTACACGTTCCCTGACACAGAGTTTTGTTGCCCTAACTTGATCGAATTAGAAATCCGATCAGCCGACACAAGAGACAAAAAACTAAACCCAGAAAGTTAACACTTTTTTTTTTGGTTCAATTTTTTCGATTTCGACAAATTAAAACGAAAAAAAAAAGAGAAAGCAATGAATCCGATCGAATGAGAGTAGAATCTTTTGGGGATTATACGTTTATTCTGGAAGGAAGGATCAAAAGAGTTTCAATCTCTCTCTTATCATCGCAGGAGAAATCAATTCAGCAAACCAACCTAACGTAGAAACAATCTCCCGGGTTTTGCTATTAGAGCAGCCGCGTTTTATTTATTTATTTATTGTGTGTGTTTTCCATTTTTTTATGTACGTGTCATGAGATTAAAACATTAATTATGAATTAATCTCTTAGCTATGTACGTGTCATGAGATTAAAAAATTAATTCTGTGGTGGTCTGAAAATTCAATGTGCACCAGGCGCGTGCTAAAGCTCCGGCGTGTGTTTTAAACTCTCGCGTTTTCTCTCTCTCTTTTTTTTTTTTTTTTCTTACTATTAATTGTCATTAAGAGGTGACGTTAATGATATTTGTAACTAATAAATACCTCTCATGCACTCAGATTTTGTTGATTCACCAGACCAGTTTATACGTTTGTGATTTGAGCATGCTTTCACATATTTAGATGTTTAGTTATTAATTTCTTAGCTTCTTGATAGAGAAGAATACAAGTATAGATAACCTGACTGAAAGATTATGAAACAAATATAATTAGCACCGGCCGGATCCCATGTTTCGCGTATAATTGTGATTATGTGTCTAAATCTCATTGATTAAATGTAAACCATAAACATGATGAAAGGAACTTAAAACGTAAAGAGACAAAACTTCTTGTATATACTGAAAAACATGTAATCTGATATCATCTTTGACGCGTTTTAAACGATGCCACGGCTCTGCGGTAGAGCTTGGGTTGTTGATCTGCAAATGTCATGTGCTAAGAATACGACATATTATTCCCCAGAAAACAATCATTCTAAATGCATATTTATATTTCAAGTAAAATATGAAAGTATCACAGAGTTAAAAAATAAAAATATACACAAACAATCTTGGCTTACAAACAATAATTTGTTATTAGTATTTACTTCACGCATTAAAAGCATTCATCTTCCCTCGTCACTGATACAGAAAAAGAAGTACACGTCAAGTTGATGCCCCAAAGCATGAGAACATTAGCTGACAAAAGGACCCCCCGCTACTCGTGTGGATAATGTAATAAAAATGGTAGAGCAGATCTATACAAGTACTTTCCATCGGTAAATCCAAGTCAAACAATGATAACTCTCGGCCTTCAGGATCAGACACGTTGAAAGCGTGCTCTCCAACACGTACGTACACATCTTTTTATTGTTCACCAACTTGACTTCATATCCACACGTGTTACTGGATTATTGGGTCTTTGATGGGCTTTTTTAAACAGGCATAAAAGGGTGCTATTGGATCAAATTATACATTCTCTTATCCAAATTGGGGATCTTGCAACATTTTTTCAAGTTCTTAGAGAACGTATGCATTAACAGTACGCTCAAAGACTCCCATAAGTAAATGGAGATTCTTTAGTGTTATGGTAAATATTTTCATTTGAACATAGTTTTGAGGCTTTATCAAGAAGCAGCTACAGACTCAGACAGTTCTTCCATGAGTTCCTTTTGTTCCAAAGCAGCACAAGCCTGCCAATAACAACGGGACTACATTCTTCAAAATTCACTTAACTTACTAATAACAACGCACCAAAAATTAGATCCAAGGCTAGGGATTTGACCTGCACTGCATCCTCTAAGCCACCTTCAAGAAATGATGTCAGCGGAAAGTTCATCTTTAGCCTATGGTCAGTCACTCTACTGTCCTATTATTTTCACACATCATAAGAGCATTACACAAACCATCCTGAAGTAACGCTCTAAACAATCCGTGTATTATTACCTTATAATTGTATGTTCTTATCTTTTCTGAACGAGCTCCAGTCCCAACCTGATTTCGCAAGAACCAACATAAAAGATGACTATTCAGTCGATGAGCTTGACTCAAAAAGGTTATGGGAATAGTATTACCTGAGATTTTCTTTGATCCCTTATCTTCTCTTGTTGTTCCCTTAATTTGATTTCATACCTATATATATATGGAAATATCTCAGCGTATCAAAAAGAAAGACTGAAGATAGAGAAGAGGAGACTGAGAATTTGTTCCTTACAGTTTTGCTCGGAGAAGCTGGAAAGCACGAGCCTTGTTTCGTAGCTGAGTCCTTTCTTCTGTACAGAAAATGCGTATACCTGTTGGTTTATGGACTAGATCTATAGCTGTCTCTACCTTGTTCACTTTTTTTGCCCTGCACACCAAGATCACTCCTCAGTATAATAGCAAGTGAAATTGTGAGAGAGACATTGAGTGATTTTCTTTGTATTTTGGCCTGACCTCCAGCGCCACCAGACCTTGGAGTTGTGAGTTCAATGTCCTTCGGGTCAATCACAACCTCCACTTCATCAGCCTATAAATAACAACAGAAAGAAAGCAAACATGACAGTTTCAACTGGTCACTAAGGTTTCAGAATATCGAAGAAACTAAAACATAGGCATGCGTAAAATCTGGTTTACCTCGGGCATGATGGCTACAGTTGCTGTAGAAGTGTGTACACGGCCCTGTGTCTCTGTTTGAGGAACACGCTGGACTCTATGAACACCAGATTCGTACTTGAGCTTGCTATAGACACGATTTCCTTTTATCTCCATCACACACCGTCTTGTAACCTCCATGTTCAGCCTTACAAAGTTAGGAAGATATTAAAAACTATGTAATGTAAGTGACCACTGACCACATGTCTCGACGTTGACATGCTTTACTGCAATGTTCTTACACAATCCTTCAAAATGCCAGAAAATGGAGCGTCTTACTTACCTCAGAGCATGAGACCATTGAAAACTTCCAAGAGCTGCGCTCGCTATACCTCTGATACATCCGCACCTGCAAGTGAAATAATAAATGCAATAGCAGATTGATTCACTGTAAGATTGAGGGTCCCAGTCACTGCGTTTTCTTAACCATGCAATATAGGATAAATCACACTTTACGAAACAGGACTGAAGCAAACTGGTGAATAACCATTGGGTTGCGTTTTAATTTAGGAAATGACAAGCAGTGGAGGTCAGAAGAGATTGGAATAATCAGATAAGAGGAGAGAATGAAGAAATAAAGGGAAGCATGTAGCTACAAGGTCACCAGTCCAAATAGCAGCTTCATTCTCCACCAGTTCCTGCTCTGACTGTAGAAAGAAGTACATAACTCTCTTTATACTCTCCTACACAGGTAGATAGATTTGACATTATAGCAATATGTTTCTAGCATCAAGAGGATTGGTGGGAAGAAGTAACATCTGACACAAGCAAACATAACAGTTACAACTTGAGGATCCGAATCAAGAGGAAGAAACAAAACTATGGAACCAAGTCCAAGATCACATGATGGAGAAATAAAAAAGGGTGGTATGCAAACCTTGAGTTGTTTTTCAAGGTCCTCAATTTCTTGAGAGAGAGGGAGTTGATTTCAGATCCTATCATTTCAGCCATATCTTCATCATCTCCAGCCTCTTTAGCCAAAACTGAAGGCAACAAAAACAATAAGAACAAAAAGTAAAAGAAAGGAGGGGGAGAGAGAGTTGAAGGGAACCTTTGGATTCTAGTAACTGCTTCTCACAGTCCTTGAATCTCCTGAATACAACCTAAGACAATCCGAAGAAAGTGGAGTCAATATAAAGAAAACGTTTGAAGGAAATAGAGTAATGGGAAAACCTGGTCAAGCTCGGACATGGAGTGAGCAAGGTTTTGGTATTCAGAAGGATTAGAAACAACAACTGGATCAGCTAGTTTCACCTACACAAAATTAATTCAAAAAACTCTTTTGAGTATCACAAGACAGTAAAAAGGCAATCAAATTCAAGGGAAGAAGAAGTGGAAGGAAGGAGATACAGATAACTCCTTCCACGTCTTCTCAACAGACTCCATTTTCGTTATCAGGTAAGGTTCCTGTAAAATCATCAGTAGCCATTTACATAAAATCATCCGTGGAGTCCTGCTGCGAGACGGCGAAGAAGGAGGCCACAGTGGCTGCCTCGAACGTAAACTTAACTGTAAACAGGAGTGAAGTTGCACAAAGGCACGAGCCACTGGACTCGTCTCTTTAGACGATGAAACGTATGTGCTTGGTTGTGTGGAAAACAATAATAAACAAACTTATGTTTGTACAAAACACCAACAAGAATGACTTCATGGCCCAATGGATAAGGCGCTGGTCTACGAAACCAGAGATTCTGGGTTCGATCCCCAGTGAAGTCGGTACTTTTTTTTTCTTTTTAAGCTTTCTGAAGCGTTCTCTTACAGGATCTACACGTCTTTTGTTTTGTGTTTTTGGGTTGAACATCCAAGCAGTGATTTCTCGCAGCAGCAGCTCCTCAATTTTATCTGCTTCCCGGCGACGAGATGTCTATTAACAGAATCGCCAGAGCTTTACCCTTCTCGGGCCTCTTCAGGTTTAATTGATTTCCTCCTCACTTACTTTATCTTCCGTTAATTTGATTTATCTCGACGTGTATAATGGACATTCAATTTCTATCAAAGCTATTCATTCTTTTTCGCTTCGATTACTACTTTTAAGCCTGAATAATGATAAAACCGCTCCTTTTTTGATGGCTTAATTGAAAAACGGTTCGAGCATATAAGCTGTGTGCTCAGTGTTCTGCACCTTGAGATTGTGTGTTTATGTTTAAATGATAAGACTTTTGTTTTTTGAACAGGCAGCTTGAGAAAGAAGCTGAAACAGTGATCAATGTTCTGCAACCTGGCCCTTTGGGAATCATTGAACACAAGTTCACTGCTCAAGAGATTCGTCAGGCCAAAGCTACAGTCTCTACAGCTGTCGAGAATTGGCGAAGACATTCTAAGCTTGACCACGCTAATGGCGTTTTGAATGATTTCATCTCTAAGTGAGTGAAAAAAGTGAGTTCATCTCTACTTTTGTTTCCCTTGGCTAATGCATAAAAAAGGCCTTTCTTTTGTTGAACAATCCTTAAAGATTAATGGGGGAAAAAAAACAAATGTTTCTCTATTGATTATGAATAAGCATTGCTGATACGTTTTTTATCAGCTTTTACATAGATTGATATAAACTAGTATTGGTAATTGGAAATACAAGTTGTTGATATTAGCACCAGGGTTGTGTGACTACTACTTGAATTGCACTTAAATTAAACCCACAAAAAGGCAAAAAAGTATAGATTCTTCTCATCTTATACTATTCTAGTGACTTAAACCCATATGGCTCCGGCTCTTTTTAGCAATGCGGCTAGTTGGTTCTTGACTTGGAGAGTCATTACCTGGTTAGCCCCACCTATTAACTGTTCCCCTATGAACACCGCTGGTACACTCGGCTTACACCCCATCTGTACCAATGCCTTCTCTATCTCCTTCCCGTTTGACAACTGATCAACCTCGTACACCGTCATCTTTGCTCCAAATCCGGAGATCAGTGTCTGAATGGAGTGGCTCATGCAGCAGGTGCTTTTGCTGAAAACCACCACTGGTTTGTCTGCAACTAAATCTCTAATGCTTTCCATTGGGGGACGTACTTTATAGTATGAGAAATGTGACACAGGTGTAGGACTTAGTGTGAGAAGGAACTCTGTGGTTGTTTGATATACAAAGTTAGCCTATTTATAGGGTTTTGGTATGTTTAAAAGAAGGGTAAGATTGCATAAATCTGACTTATGTCACTACTTTACTTCTTTTGTTATTGTTGTGCCCTTTGGCGTTCACTAAAAACTGCATGAACATTAGATTCTTTCGTTTTCAATGTCAGAACCAAGTGGAATACACAGTTCATGAGAATCTCTTTATTTTTTTTCTTTACTAAATACGGAAATATCCTTACCATATGGTTTAGTAGTGATCCACGGATCCAATGAGGTACGCAACAGTGTGATTATGTATGCTCTTATGTTGCCTTTTTCCTTGTTGCAATATCTTTTTGCTTTTGATGCATCCACTGACGTGGAGATTGGATGATGGATTTATCCATTTAGATGCCTATCTTTTCAAGCAAACAATGGGATTCCCCCCACAGGTTTCATGCCCCAAAAGAAACGGAAAGCAAGAAAGATGAAAAAATAAAGATTGTCTTTGCCATACTTTTTCTGCTTGTGTGACCTGGAGTCTAGAGTGAAAGTGTGTGTATGATCAGACCCAAGATCTTGCTTTTTTAGCTTTTACACAACCATTTTTTTCAAGTTTCTTTCACAAACTTTCTTAACGTGAGAGAGTTTGTCTTAACTCTTAAGAGTCATTCTTGGTTGTTGCATTTGACTTGCGAGAAATTTTAATATTTTTGCAGTAGATTTTACAGGAAAGCATGATCCTGTTCTGACACTAGATTTGGACATCAGGAATCTTAGACAGATTCGTGATAAGGCCATGTGTCGTTTTTTATCACACTTATGGTTGATGATGATGATGATGATGATAAGAGCATAGATTCGGGTGATAACATCCCAAAGAATCTGATGGAACAATTTGTGTACGATATGTTCTCTTCTCCCATCTCTAGAACCCAAATGAATTAGTAGCTCCAAAATTTTCCAAAGGTCATACATACATTAGAACTGCTACATTCGTGTTCTGTAATGAAACCTTGGGAACTGTATTTGAATAAATGATGCTTAAGAAAAAAAAATTGAAGTTACAGAGGTATGTAAGGTTCTTTGAAAGCCAGGAAACATTAAGGGAGAATAAAATTTCAGTAAATCATGATACAAACAAAAGTAGTCGTCTTAAGAGCTTGAGAGACAATCCATCATTCGGTGATGTTGTTGACGACCACAAGTGAGTTATAATGTTCACCGAGCCCAAAAGCATGCCTGTGATACGACAACTTGAGGCTCGAGTCATTGCCGGACTTGTACTCTTTGCCCATTTCAACATCTGGAAAAGATCCAGAGAACACCATTATGTGTTTCCTCAAGCAATGTGTCAACGCTCCTAGCTCCAGCTGACCTCCCCAAGCAGCTGTTGACTCCACTTCTCTGCAGTATTTCTCAAACCGCTCTTCTGCATTGGAGCCATCACCCTCGGACTCAGACTCGGTTTCTGATAAGAAAAAAGGGATGAAATCGGCTTTGTGGTCTCTCATGTATGCAGCAGTCATTTCTCTTAGCTTCTGATACGTGTAAGGAGATGCACCGCCTGAGAGATTGGCAAGCTGGCTCTCTACTGCTCGGTAAAGGCAATGCCCGTCTGGTTTTATCTCGCTGACGGTTAGCCCCATTGGTTTAAGCTTCTTCTCGAGCTTTTGGTTCTCGACCATACGATCACTTATCACATTGCTTTGCTCTTCTTTGATTCTCTGCTCTCTGTCTGCTTCTTCTTTAGCTCGTTTCTCGCGTCTCTTCACGCTCTTGCTCGGCTTTGAGTGTTCTTGCTGAGCGGTGGTGACTGAGACTCCAGCGATGGCTCTCACTAGAGTGTCGATATCTCCTTTCTTCTCATTCGTTTCATCCTTGATGATGTTGTTGCTGCTGCTACCGCTGCTGAAACCTTGTGAGGCGAGCTCTTTCAGCTGTTTCTCCTTAAGCTTGGTGGAGAGTTTGGAGATGTCTTCTTCGACTTGCTTCTTCTTAGCTTTCTGCTCAGCTTTGCTTCCTTTAGCAGCAGCCTTTTTCAGCTCCGTCTCCTTGTTCTGTAGTTGTTTTATCTCTTGCCTATAATCAAATAAGTAAAATAAAACGTTGCTAAATCTCCATAAGGGGGAAGAAACCTGAAACATCTATTCCAAAACAAGAAGAAGAAAGAAAAAACAGTGGTAGTGTTACCTGTGCCTAGCAAGCATCTCATCGACCGTTTCATGTTGCTTCTGAGAAGCATCAATGGTGGATTCTTCACTTACATTAGAGTCTGCCATTTAAGGAGCCTGAAAATACAATGTAGAAGCTAAAACGGTGTCAAGCCAAATAAAAGTTTTAAGAGCAAGTAAAGCTGCAGACAAATCATACAAGAACAAGAAAAAAAACAATGAGCTCATTCTAGTATGTATCAGTTTGGTTCTGCTTTTTTTTTTAATATAAAAACTCAAACAATGAAACACTTAGAGATAAATCCAACAGCCTAATGAATGTAGAGATTAGCAAGATCAAAATTCATTACACGATTCAAATATTTCACCAAACAATTAAAACGATAAGCAGATCCTTTTCTATAAAAAATAATAACAAGACTTTCAATTACTAATAGCTCTATTGAATTAATTGGCTTCAAGTAGCAAATTGTGACAGAAGGACCCCAAATTTCGTACCTTTGATCGAGTGAGAAGAAGATTCCAAGTTTGTGAATTAGGGTTTACGCGACCAGAAAATATAAAAACAAAAAAAATTCCGGAAAAGTAAAGGAAAAACAGAAAATGTATGTGGGCTGTTTTGTTAACTATCAAATCTGAGCAGATTTAAGTTAATTGGGCTTAAGGCCCATTTAGATCAATCAAAATTTAGAAGTTAGATTCGATTTTAACAAGTAGGGGGAAGGCTAAAATTATTCTGTCAACGCTATATATGTATACTAGGATAAGACCCGCGCCTTGCGCGGGATGAAGCTATTATTTTTATTATGTTTTTAAAAATGAAACAATAGTTCGGTTTCATTCGGATTAGAGGTGTTCAATCCGGATATCGAGTTTCGGTTCGGTTCGATTTTTGGTATTTCGATCATTAAAATATAACTACTATTCTAAATCTATATGTACTTCAGTTTGATTTGGTTTATATACCATCGGTTTTCAGTTTATTCAATTTTATACCAAAAAACATAATTATTTAGAGTCATATTGTCACAGAGTCATTTATTAAAAAAATATTATATATTTAAATAAAAGAATAAAAAACAAAAAAAGGCTTCTATCATCTAATAAAATGATCAAATCTAGAATTAATATCAAAACACTAAATTTTGAAAATAAAAATAAAAAACAAAACAGAAGCATGAAAGAAAAGTTTTTATATTCTTCCATATTTAGTGTTCATCAAACCAATATGTCTTCGATTGAACACAATTATGTTTGTTTAAAGATAAAAAAAAAGTTGTAAAGAATTTCAACTAATTGTTGTCCATCAAATTTATAATCTTTACTTCAATTTAGTTATTGTTAAAAAAGCAAAAT